CAATGAGTCTTTCTCCCAAACAGTGTACTTTGTATTTTATTTATTTATACTTTCAATTTATGGATCACCCAAGCCCTGAATTCACAGGGCTCTGGGCAAGGAACAATGATAAAATAAACTACATTGTAACAGTGTTAAAATTATAATATAAACTAAACTTTAAAATACTCATTACATTCAGGAAACAATCCCCAGATGGTGCATGAATTTATCTTCAACCAGTCCTGGTGTCACTTCGTGGGCAGGGGAAGGAGGAGACGGCGGAAAAGGACGGAAGAGAGAAAGTGGGCGGAACCAGCCAGATAAAACCTGTTGCCGTTCTCAACCAAAATTGCACTGTTGATGTACTAAAATGGGATTTTGGACCTTACAGGGCACGTGCCTTCTACGTGGGACTCAGAGGACATCATTTTGATAGCTAGACACTTTCCCTTTTCCTAGAGAAGCAGGAAGTAGATGCTGAATTCCATCTCTGCCCCTTGGGAATACCCACGAAGCTCCTTCAGCTTGGAGACCCATAGCTACAAAATATGATGATGTAACTCCAAAGCTAGGGCCACGGTGGCTCAGTGGTTAAGACACTGAACTGCAGACTGGAAGGCTGGTAGTTCAGCAGTCTGAGACCCGAGTGCTGCATGATGGAGTGAGCTCCTGTCTCTGGCCCCAGCTCCTGCCAACCTAACAGTTCGAAAGCAAGAAATTGCAAGTAGATAAATAGGTACCCCTTCAGTGGGAAGGTAACAGCGTTCTGTGCGCCTCAGCGTCTAGTCATGCCGGCCACATGACCACGGAAATGTCTTTGGACAGCGCTGGCTCTTCGGCTTGGAAACAGAGATGAGCACCGCACCCTAGAGTCGAATTCGACTGGCTTTCAAACAAGGGAAATCTTTACCTTTAACTGCAAAATGTCTACTAACTAATGAAGAAAAAAGACCAGAGAGAACCAGAATCAATGGCAAAAACGCTTAGAACAGAGAATTGGGGGGTGGGGCTCAGAGATTAGTTGAATAGGTGGTCAAAGCTCCTGATCCCTACATTACCGTCCCTGCATTTTATCAGGAAGGGACAAAATGATATCCTCCAAGTGCCGGGGAGAAGGAACATTCACTATAAGCCACAGCATTCCACTTGTCCCTAGAACAAAAGGACATGATTTTGATAGATGGAATGGTACAAAGCTGTACAGATTAGGGAACAAACGCCATTCACCGAGTGCATTCAAAGCACTTGCTGAAGGACTCTCGTCCCGAATGCTGCATCAGCCAAGGTGATACGTGTCCCACTTGTGATGTCTCACAAAAGTAGATACAAATGCCCTGCAGATTTCTGCTACTGAAGCATTCTTATCAAAGGTAACAGATATGGCCATCTGCACTGTTTGAACTGCCTTCTAATTCTGCAATCGTCTTGCATTATTCATTGTATGTCTTATACTGTATAAACGTTTTGTGTTTTATTCTGTAATCCACCTTGAGGCTCAGCAGAATAGTGGACCACAACTGAAATAAACAAATTAATTTCTAAGTAGAAAACAGCAAGAGTCCACTAGCACCTTAAAGACTAACAAAAATTTGTGGCAGGTATGAGGTTTTGTGAGTCACTGATCACTTCTTCAGATGCAGCTAGAATGTGAGTCCATCTGTTCTGATATCTTCAAGAGTGGAGTGATTTCAGATGCTGAGTGACAACAGCAGGCAACTGACAATAGCAGTGACTGGTTTAGGTGCGATATGCAGAGGGGTAGTATGCATGGAGAAATCAGCACGGGTAATGAGACAGGAAACCTAGGTCTCAATTCAGTCCAGGAGGATGCACTGTCTTGAGCATAATTATCAGTTTCAATTCAGCAGTCTCTCTTTCTAATCTCCCTTTGAAATTCCTTTGTAAGAGAACTGCTACTCTTAGGTCAGTAACTGAATGTCCTGAAAGGTTAAAATGTCGCCCCACTGGTTTTTCAATATTATGGTTTCTAATGTCACACATGTCCATTTATTATTTGTCTTAAGAACTGGCCTGTTTGTCCAATGTAAAGGGTGGAAGGGCAACACGTGATGGCATAAATCACATTCTGCTTAATTTTAAAATTTCTATGATTCTGAGTCTTTTCATGCTTAGGGCTCCAATATTGTCTGACTTTGGTATTTACCCTGCTAGAGGTTTTTAGGAATCAAAACGCCAGTCCTCAAATCACCAGAAAAAAAGAGGGGATGAGGGAAGCAGATGCTTTTGAGCAAGAGGGCATTGGGCCCAAGATAGCTCATTCTAATAATCTAATTGTTGGTTCTAAGGAAATCCCTCAGGAAGATGCAGATGAAGAAATGCTGTGTGAATCTTTTCAACTTCTTCCTGGAGGAGAGCAGAAAGATGTGCTTATAAGATTTGAAAAGTTAAAGGCAAAACTGATTAGCATTTCAGCTGATGCATATGATCTTAATTCATCTGTGTAGTGTAACACAATTGCTCTGAACTCAGAACTGCAAGAGGTGGTTGAGACCATGGACCTGATGGATCTTAAGAGATCACGCGCAAGACACAGCAATGCCACAAGAGCAAAGTACGGTAACAAACTAGCTGTTCCTGTAGCAACTGGGCCAAAACTAATCGCAATCACATAGGGATCTGCCCTAATAATTTGTAAGCAACCAAGTGAGGAAAAGTTATCATCAACTGGTTCCCACTTGTCTTCGGAAGGGGACATTATTTTGTTTAAGCCTCCTGTTCATGGATCCAGCGTTGCTGTTATTGATCCAGATGCAAATAAAATCACTTGTGAACAATGACACATCCCCTTACAGAACAACATGATTACATTACTGCCATGGAATATTCACAGTTGGCACAATAAACAAGGGGATTGGGAGGTGACAGAAATATTGAAGGATTTCCACATCATTTGTTTACAATAGACTTGGGCTAAACCCCCAATTAACCTAGATGGCTTTGAAGCTTTTAATCTACAAGCCACTTGTAGCGTGACTAATAGAGAATGCCCAAAGGGTGGCCTTGTAACACATGATTTAAATGTAAACATAATTCAAACAGATTTTTATGATAGTGTAATAACTTTTTGATAATTAATGTGTAAATTCCTTGATTTAAAGCTTAAGTTCTTATTACAAAATTCTGGTTAGCTTTTGATAAATATGTTGAAAATTTGGTTATCAATATCCAACAGTACAGATTATTCTCATGGGTGATATGAATGCAAGACTTGGGGGTTAGCAATGCGGATTTTCTGAAATCTAAGTTTGGAGAGGGCTTGGCCTTCTCAAAACTGGGTAACAGTGGAATAACTTTAGATAGAGGCATCAGCGTTGCTAGTACCTGTTTGCTAAACTCAACAGCAAACCTTAACTTGGAAATTTTAAATGGCCACCAGGAATCAATGTCATCCAATCAGACAGCTAACTTTACCTCCACCCAAGGATCCAGTGTTCTAGACTATATTCTTGTAGTAGGTGAATTACTTCCAAGAATAACTAAATTCACAGTGATGGAAATTGTTTGTAGTGATCATCTCCCTATAACATTAGAACTAAAAGTGCATTCCAATTCTTGACGAACTGGTAGGCCTTCATATCACAGATATAACATGGAACGCATATATTGCTGATAAAGCTAGGAAGCTGATGAATCAGGAAAGCATAAATGGCATCAACGGAGAAATTATCAATCACACAATAGTTATGGGCTAAATTATTGGGAGCATTTCAAACCTTGTTTCTGAAACAGGTTGCTACTGTAAGACAGCTCGGTAAGATGGAATGGTACGACAGTGAATGTCACAAAGCTAACTCAAAACTCAAGAGGAGCAATCAAAGAATGAAAACTTGCAGTACCCACCATCGTATCTCAGGTTATATTTATCAGAAATGAGTTTATAGGAGGGCTACAAATTTGTTAATTCTTGTGAAACGGAACAACTTAGCATAAATCAAAATAAATCTGAAGTACCGCTGTTTGGAGACCTGAGGAAGACATGGCATACTCAGAGGTTGCAAGTAATGGAGTTTGAACAATTTCATTCTAATATCTGGACATCCTTTTTGACACTCTAATGACATGGAAAAGTCATCTAAAACATATAAGTGGCTTTCAGCATCTGTCCATATCCTTGAAGAAACTGTATTTTTACAAAAGGTGGACTGCCTTTTTCAGCACTGCTCAAATTTTACAATTCCAAGATCTGATCTGCAACCCTACACGGGGCACCGTTATGGCAGCATATAATTGCTAAAGATCCTGAGAGGCTGCAAACTGACTTCTATCTCGAGAATGTCCATTTGTGTCTCTCCAACTCAGTAATTAGATTAGAAATTGGACTGTGCCCCTTACAAT